CAAGGTTACTATTTCCCTAAATGCCAAGTCCCTGCGGTGAAGGAGGGGCAGCAAACAGCCTGGGGTGGGGCAGGCTGGCAGCACGAGGGGCTCAGCCTGGTCCCTATGCCACCAGTGCCCTGAGCCCATGGGTGAGAATGGACACCACCACTGGGAATGTTGATGGGCCTTGAGAGCTGTGGAGAGCAAGAGACACTGCTGAACACAGGCAGGGGCATTAGGGTGGTGTTGTATCTCCTTCTCTACCCCCTGCCATAGGCAGGAACACCTTCCACTATCCCAGGTTGCTCCAAGCCCTGTCCAACTTGGCCTTGAACACTTTCAGGGATGGGGCAGCCACAGCTTCTCTGGGCAACCTGTGACAAGGTCTTACCACCCTCATGGGGAAGAATTTTTTCCCAATATCCCATCTAACCCTGCTCTCTGGCAGTACAAAGTGATTCCCCCTTGTCCTGTCACTCCATGCCCTGTCCAGCTCCCTTAGAGCCCCTTCAGACACTGCAAGTTGCTACAGTCCCATTTGCTGGGCATAAAATAACTGCTGTTTCCCCTCCCGTGCAGCAGCAGCAAGAAGGGGTGGATGGAGCAGCTCATCCTGGCACTCTCCCATGACAAGTTGACAGAGGGGTACACAGCTACTCCTGAAACGGGGCATCCTGTGACCCAGGCAAGCATCCCACGGGCCAGCTGGGAATCTTGAGTGCTCTGTCACCACCCCAGCCGTCCCTATGTGCTCTGGCACTCCCTCCCATCCGAAAAGCCAAGGCAGCAGCCCGTGGGTACCGTTCGCACATAGAGTTCTTGGCTGACCCTCAGCTGGCCCCAGCCCACCTTCACCAGCCCTGCACAGCCAGAAATGACTGTGAGAGTACACTGAATTCCTGTGACTCCACTGACCCCTCCAGCCTGTTTTGGCTGCTGTTTACTCCCCAAGCTGCACACACAGGTTGCTCAGTTTGCAGACAGCGGGACAGGAGGCCACACCTAATTCAGAGTGAGGCATTATGGTTATTTTAAGCACTAGAAGGTGATTTTAAGGAGGTTGTGTGTGTAACACAACCTGGCTATTGCTGCCCGTGTTTGCAGCACCCACCTCTGACCTGCCCTCAGCATGCCAAGCAGCTGCTCATAACCCCAGCACAGCAGGGCCCTCACACAGGGAAGGCTTTGAACAATACAGGGGACACAGATGAGACCAATGGACAAATAAAACTGGAGAAAAAACACAAGCAAACTCCAGTCAAGGTGTTGGTTATCTACAGCAATACCTCCACACCACAGGCTGTCCAGGCAGAGCCGTCACAGCACTGTGCTTCTCTTAAAAGGTTTAAAACCCATAGTCTTAAATATTTCGATTTTCATGATCATGTATTTTAGTTTGAAAACTTCCTCCACTTCAGCTGAAGTATGTGTCTATGCTACACGGTGCTTTCTCCTTCGGGTTTTGCCATGTTTTCTACACAGGCAGGATAAAGAAATCTGATGGGATAAAGAAACCTGACGGGACACAGAAACCCAGTGGGATACAGAAACCCAACACTGCTGCTTTGGACACAAATGCCTCCCTGGGGTTTGGTGGCCCCGGGAACCAGCTGCGGTCTCCAGGCACCCACAGTCCAGTGACAGCTCCTGGCACAGGACAGTCCCGCTGACTCACCCAGTACAACTCCTGCCCAGAGCAGTTTTTCCATAAAAATAAACCCAGCCCTAATAAATAAATGCATTCCCATCGTAAAAGCCCGATTGGTGGCTGGGAAGGAAGAGCCTGCGCTCTGCAGCAAAACCATTTCCCTCTGGATTGGTGAAGGAGGACTATGCTCCAGAGAAGGCATGTCAGAAGGACCCCATTCCCCTAGGGAGGGGGACAAGGGTACCAGCACTGAGGCAGGGGGATCTCTTCCCCAGCACAGCCACTGCTGTAACACCATCGTGCCCAGAGACCAGGGAAGAAGCGACACACGCTCACGAGGGGGATTTAGGAACTGGCGCAGCTCCCGGTGGAGCAGACCTGGGGGATACATGAGCATTTAGCAGGGAGCCAAGAGGCTTTTGTAAACAGAAGCTCGAACAAACATCTCTCATTTCACAGATGGTGCTCACAATTTACAGCATTGCACATTTAAAGGCCACCTTGGGTACATCGGTGCTCCCTGCACAAGAAATCCCCCAGACCTGCAGGCCTCAACGTTTGTGCTCCAAGGAGCCTCCCACTAAGACCCACAGGAGTTATTTCCACAAGAACATCGGTTTTCAACTTAGTAATAAGTAAGAACACCAAAATGACCCAACTCCTTTCCCTGCAGTTCCCCAGTTTGGGTGAGTGCAGGCTCCCAGCTCAGCGGCCAGTCAGCTCGTGGGGGCTGCCAGGAGAGCCAACCCCTCCTGAACAGGGCCTCAACACGATGGCCCTGGTCCACAGCTAAAAAATTACAGAAAATACTGAAGAGTGCAAGAAAAAACCCAAAGTCCTGAAGCAGAGCCCAGAGATGAATCTCCCAGGACCAGCAGAGAATTTGGCAGAGTGTTTGAAGGAGCTCAAAGGTCAAGGCACCCCAAGACCCTCCCCGTGGCCACAGTCCCTAATTGTGGGCCTGGTAATTCCAGGGGAGCGCCAGAAACCCTCACATGGCAGCACCAGATGCCACAGCCTGCGGCAGAGCGTGTGGCTGCCCGAGGCTTCCTGCAAAGCCCAGATTACTCAGCTGCTTGGAAAAACAGAAGCAGCTTTATACAGATATTATTTGGGCAGCCCCGTGGAGCAGCGGGGACGGAGACACCGGACACTGGCACCATTCAGACACCCTGCCCCGACCCAGCCCACAGCCACAGGGCAGGGGTGGGGACAGACCCACTGCTGGCAGCCCTGCTCACTCTCCTCATCCTCACCACTGCAAAGCCACCCCCCCACAAGCACTGCCCATGGAGGGCAGAACCCCACGGAGCTGTCAAAACCACAGGCACAGCCTTTGCTCCCGGGCAAGCAGGCACAGAGGGGTGAGTGACGTCTGTACACACAGTTTAATCACAATACAATTAAGTCAGATGCCTCATTGGAAGACTGGATTAAAGGCATTTGATTTAAATATTTGGGGTCATAGAGAATATCTGCCTTGTGGTACTATTCACTTTAACACTTACTTTTCAAACTTCAGCTCAACATGGACCAAAAACTCATGTGTTCCTGCATGTGCACAAATCATCCCATAATCACTGGATTTGAGGAAAAGCACTGAATGCCACAAGCACTGTCAGAGCCACAAGCTGCCAGTGCTACCCTGCTTGGCCCTGTTTTACTTTGCAGAACTAGAGGCCCCTGAACTGGCACATGCACCTGGTTCAGTGCCAGGCTGCTCACCTAATCCCTTGGGAACAGCATGGTGCTTCCGCTCTCCAAAGTGTCACACAGCTTTAACTGATTTATTCTGCTGAATTTCTTTATAACTTCTGTTAAGAAAGAAATTATTAGGAAGAGGCAACTCTTGAAATCTGAAAAATTGTGAATGTGGCAAACAATCCCTGTCAGGTCCCAGCAAGACCTGGGCTCACAAACCTTGCTCTATGATAAGCCACACCATTTTTTTCCCCTTAAAGGATAAATAAATTAAAACCATCCTACTGGGGGAATGGGACGTGACTGACTCCAGAGCTTCAAGCAGGCATGAGACAGTAATGCATCTTTACTCTGCATATAACACATGTAAAGCACGATCTTGATTTGGAAGTGTCCTACCTTTGGATGCTCTATCCTGCCCCCACAGCACTTCTGCCAGGCAGCTCACCCGCAGTGGGAAAATCCACAGGGAGCAGGCATGGCGTGGGGTTGGGCCTCACAGTCCTGCTCCCAGGAATGCTGAGGAGAGGTCGGTGTGGTGCTCATGCAGCTCAGGGTTTAGTGGCAGCGATGATGAGGAGGGAGGCAGAGCAGATGATGAAGCTGGATGAAGCCTGTCTTGGCTGCCCCACACTTACCTTCCCGTTGGGAGTACCCAGATGGGTACCCAGGGCCCGTAGGCATCCCACCTGCTGGAGTGAGGCCTGGACCCCAGACCTCCAAACCCAACCCTGGTGCCAGCCAAGCCAACAACGACGAGATTCACCATCTCTGCAGCACCTGCCCTGGCACTTGGCCGAGCCCTCCACCAGCATCCAGCTAAATCAGGAATGTCCCTGTCTGCTCTCAGGGGATGGGGGCTGCTATGGATGAACAGGAACTGGAAGTGTTTGAGGCCTGTGGGAGGACTGGAGGGGTGGGAAGGAAGGTCTCCCTGAACTGAGAAGGTCGCTGCGTGCAGCGAGGCCATGAGTTGCCGTGGTGGGAGCAGCATTCCCGCCGGCCGATCCGCAGGGATGCGCAGGGGCGTGCCGAGGGGCACCAGGGGGAAACTGGGTTCAGCTCCTGAAGATCTGAGCAGATCTTCACATGACAAGGAGGGGAGGTTCTGTGGGAAAATGCTATCGGGCCCGGCCAAGCCACGGCAGGAAGGAAATTCCCCCAGCGGAGCCGCCATCGCGCGAGGGCTCTGCTGTGGCGAGTTCAGGGACTTCGTAAATAACTCGGCCATCCCCAGGGAGGCATTGCTAAGGTCGCTGTTTTTTCCCTTGAACTTTCCAGATGAAGGAAGCAATAGCAGAAGCAACAGCACAGATTTGGCCGGAGATCAACTGTACTGACAACAGTCAGAGAATTGAACTCAGAAGAAAAGTCCTTTGTGTGTGTTGGAGTTATCACCAGATGGGCTGGGCATCCCTGGAAGTTCTGCTCAAAAATATTCCACACGGGCAAAACCCCCAGAGCTGGAACTCAGTGGCAGATGTAACCCGCAGTAACTAATTCCACCGTTTAGACCAAGTTAAAAATGCAGGGCACATGCTTGGTGCCCATTAAAAATTAAAATGTTAAATTGTATTCTTCAGCAAACTGCTGGGATTGAGTAAGTAACAACCCTGATTAAAGATTAAGGATGGAGAGTCTATAAAACACTAATTACCACTGTACTTACAGGGAATTTGGCCTGTTGGGTTTAATTACTTCTAGTTCAAGATCACTTGAGTTCAGGCTGGGCTGGGGAGCGCTGTTGGAGTTGAGGAAGCTGTTTACATTTGAAGAGATGACGGATTCCAGGCTGGAGTTGATGATACTGTTCCTGTTCTCCTCTAAAAAACACCAAAATCCAAGAACCATCAGCTGCCACTGAAGGCAAAGTCAAGAGCAAATGACTGCGAAGGCATCGAGTGTTCCCAGCAAACCCTGCCCCAGTGCAAACTGGGAGCATCTCCCCAGAGCTCAGAGTCAGTTACAGAGATATTATACATTAAACCACAAAAAATACCAGGTACTCTTTGGTTCTTTTAGTTTTAAGATGCAGGTACATTTAAATAAGCACCATTTTTAGCAAGCAAATACGCACTTTTCTCAATGCATTAATATTTTGTATTCCCAAAGACATCTAAAATGCCCCAACCTGAAAGAAATTAAAATGCAAACTATGCACAGGAATGGATTTGTGTTACTGAAATCAGCTCCCAAGGGATGGAGTGTTTGGACAACAGAGCAAGACAACACTTTAGATCAAGAACAGGACAGATCACCCTAAGCTGCCTAAGGACCTAAGTTTATCTCAGCAAAAAATGCTTCAGTCTCATACTTGACATCACTACTCGTTGCTCGTTCCTGTCCAGGTCTAAAGGGGAAAGGGAATGGAGTCTCTGCTCCATTTTAGCTCAGCTCTTTCAAAATGCAGAGCCATGGTGGGACAAAGACCCGGCTTTGGATCTGGAAAGGAATGGGATGTGTTGGGCATCCCCTGGTGCTGGGATCATTGCTCTGCTGACAGTCCAGAGCTTCTCAGAGATTCCTGTTTCTCTCAATCACATTAAGAGATTTCCTCATTATTTGTGTAACTTCAGCAGTGAGCACTGACAATATTGTGCATCTCAAGCTGACACCACAGCATGGGCCCCTCCTCATCTCTGCCCCAGATCCCCTAAAATCCCATTAACTCATTTCCAGGAGAAGCTTTTTCCATATGAGCAGTAATTGTAATTGTGAGAAGCAATTAGCAACACTGATGGCACGACAGCAGCCCCAGGCAGAGAACTGCTGCTTCTGGGATGATGCTTTCCTGAAAGACAGGCACCTGCTGGAAAACACGGAGAGTCCTACTTAAAGGATATATCTTTCCAAAATTATTTTTCCAGTGCACAATAATATGGTCCAACTACAACCAAAAAGCACAAAGAAATATGGAAATCCTCATTCTCAATCTCCCTTAATTGCTATCTCTGCTTGTGCAAGGAGAACGTGCAATATGCATCCGTATCCTGCGCACATTTAATGAGGGATAAGAGTGCAAGAGGAACTCCTGGGATATGTGAAAAGTTAATCCTGAGCACACAGCAGAAAGGAACTGCCTGTAAAACAGCCTGGCAGGAGCGTTGTCTCAGAGCGTTGGGGCAGCTCTGCCACTGCTCTAAAGGGAAAAACCACATCAGCCACAGGTTTGTGGATGTCCAGAGCAGGGTCCGATACTCCTTGTCCTGCTCCTTTGCTGGAGCTGCTGCATTTCCCAGATACCTGGACAAAATCAGCACCTACATGGCAGCAGGACAGGGCTAAACCTTGGTTTATCTGAGGTTGAGCTTATCTGTCAGAGATGAGCCAAGGCCAAGGATGTGTTAATTATGTTGATACGCATCAACATGTTCCTGAAATTGGGTTTCCCTGATCTTGATCTGCAATGAGTCACCATGGGGACAAGCAGCACAGACACCTCTCTGTCCCCAGCTCTGTGAAAGTTGAAACCTCTGGGTTCAGAGGGCATCAGCACCTTGTGATGAAAAAGATTATCCATGCAGAAGACAAAGATGGAAAAGTAAAGAAAAGCAGAACGCTGAGCTCCACAAGTATCGACATGCAGACATGGGAGCCAGCAGATGAAATGAGAGAGAAATTAAGCTGCCTAAGGACCTAAAAACCCCAAATCCCTCTATTTTTGTGTCTGCTAGAGCAGGTTTTGGGCAGCCTGTGACAGACCACCTAAACACAGATGACCAAGCTCAGGGATTGCTCACGCTGAGCCTGGTTGGACCCAGGGCCGACCTGAGTCCCTGGAGTGTGGACTAACACTACAGCTTATTATTTCCAAACATTTTCTACCCAAGACTGAAGTCCAGGAATAAGCTCCATAAGCCTGACAGATCAGTGTGGATTGTCTGCCTAATCTCCACACCAGTCACCAGCCAATATCAAATTAGAGTCCCCGTCAGCCACAGAACTGGAAGTGTTTCAGCTAAAGGGGAAGGGAGATGAATGGTAGAATCTGAAACTCCTGCTTTATTTTATTTCCTCCTTTTTAAAAGGCTGAAACTGTGTTTTGCTTCATGTTTTTAAATGCTTATGTGAAGGATTCTTTGCTGGGAGGTTTAATTGGGTCTTACAGCTACAAGAGCAGAACTGCCTTTCAGCTAAAGAGCACTTCCAGAGTGCAGAAGGGAGAAGAGCCACTTTGCAAAGAAGAAGAGCAAGAGCTTCTGTTAATAAACCAAACCTGCAACTTCTCTCTGAGACCCCCCTGGGTCAGTTGTGGGCAAAAATGGGAATGTTTAACAACAAAATAATCACTATAATCATAGATTAAACATAATGATCTAATCCACTCTCTTGCATTACCCTGTCTGTTGAACATGATAATTTTCGACTTACACACAGCTTTGTATGATGAATTCTAGTGAAAATTTTACAAAGATATTGGACTTCGATAAACAAATTTCAAGTAATGGAAAATCCACTGTCCCACTTCACTTCTTATGGTAAAATTATTCTCAGTCTTAAAAAATGTGCACCTTGTTCCCCTTTTGAACGTTTCTAGCTTCAATTTTCAGCTTTCAATTTCTGTGTTTGAGCTGCTGCCCAAGCCCTCGTGCTTCAGCCTGACTTTGAGCCTTGGCCCATCTCTGGACCAGTTAGAAAGAAAACAAAGAAGAAAGGAAAAAGAAGAAAGTAGTAAGAAAGGAAGAAGAAATGAAGAAAAAAGAAACCTCACATTATTCCTCAAGTGACATGTGCAGCAGGGATGGCAAACACTGAATAAAATGGTAGTGGCTTCCCAAAGATACAGGAGGAAAACTGGGAAAACATTGCTTCATTTGGGAATAAATAAATGCAGAAATAAACACATGAGCTCAGTTCCTCTTCCAGGCATGGGGAGGATGGCACACAAGGGCTCCAGCAGCCCATTGACCCTGGAGTGTGACAAGCAACTGCTTAGTTAGCAGAAAATAAATCACTAGGACTGAATTTTTCAAAAGGAACTTTTGATATTTGAGGCTCCTCCGACAGCTGTGCTACACCATTCCCAGAGCACGCTCTGGTGCCACCGCTGCTTCCTCAAACTCACACGGATTGTTTCGACACCCTCCAAAATGACAGTGGCTGGTAATTAACAGTAACTCAATCAGACAAACCCACATGTTTTGAGAGTCAGCAAAGTCCACAGCGACCACTCTGTCCACCCTGGGAAGCTGGGTTATCTCCAGCCCTCCCCTGCTCCTTGCTCCATGTGTGCTTGTTCTGCTCACCAGGGCACTCTCTTGCTTTTTGATCAAACTGGGAGAGCTCCCAGTTGGTTCCAGGAACACGTGGCCTGGATGAACCAGAGAGCTGGGAATTGGGTTTATGCTGTAACGCGAAGCCACAGCCTGAGCAGACACATTTCTGCCACCCCATGAGCAGGGATGGGGCCTTGGCTCTTTCATCCAGATATCTGGAGCATCAATTAGTGACAGAAATGGAAAGATGAGCTCCAACATTTTTAAACTGCCATGGTACATAATCCTCAGGAAAATGCCAAACCTCCTGGCCAAGTTTTCCTGTCTGTAAAAGGCAAAGTGCCTGAGGGCATCCCAAAAGGGTTGCCCTGTGGGGATGTCGGCGGGTGGCCACCCTCGGCACAGGTGTGGCACCCGCGTCCTGGCAGCTGATGACAGCAATGATGGGGGCGAGGAACATGAGAAGGGGAACACGCAGGGGCCAGTCAGGTGGGGAAGGGACAGCAACACTTTATCCCGTGCTACAGCAGCCTTGTGTCGAGCCCTGGTTAAGGGCTCAGATGCCAGGAGAGCTTCAAACTCCCCACTGATGCAACAGCGGAGGAAACTGAAGCCTGACCCTGTTATGGAATCATCTCTTCCACTGACAGCAGTAGAACTGCATGGGGATGGCATGGGAATGACAATCTGTTAGGCATGATTAGGGCAAATATGGAGGGTTGAGAGGGTGGCTGGGCACTTACGCTTCTCGTTGGGCTGGGGCGTGTGGAAGAGCGTCAGCGGCCGCTCGCTGCAGGAGGGAGGCTTCGAGTCCATGCTCTTCTTGCGGGATAACAGCAGCTGTGAGTTCGACGCCGGAGTCTCTGGCACCGTGTTAAATATCTGTTAAAAATAATAAACAAGTTGTTCTCTGGCATCATCCTTCGAACAGGACAGCTGCCCACCTGCCTGGGCTGCACCACTCTACAACCACTCTGCAGCGCAGCCTCTGAGGAAGACATGTGGTCAACAGGGCAATATTTTAGGTAGAATTTCCTAAATTCTACATTCCTGCTCTGTCTACACTCCTCTATTTTTCACCCAAGATGCACATTGCAGGATGGGAAGAACCCTGACACTCTGGCACTCTGCTGAATTTTTGGGGGTGCAGATGATGGCGAGTGTCCCGGACAGACCAGCCATCACTCTCCCCATGCCCCCTGCAGCGCAGCCTCGGCGCCCACGCTCCCACGCCTGCATGCCAGCTTGGGAAAGTCTTTGCAACTTTCAGCCACAGCTGTCAGAAAACTGAGTAATCACATTTTTCTCAAGGGGATGGAATTTTAAAACTGCATGAACCCAAAGAGAAGCAGTTTTGTTGGTTGTTGATATTTGGTTATTTATTGTTCCTCTTCTGGATCCCCAGGCTCAGACAACAGCAGCCTCCATACCAGCTCTCTCAAGGTCTCACTTCATTGCTAGAGCTCATTAAACCCCATCCCTCAGTGTCTTTCCTGCTCTACCTGCCCCAGCCAGACAGTCAACCAGCACGGACAGAGGTTCCCAACAGGAAAACTGCATTTTGACACAGCTCACTGCCCGCCGCAGCATGGGGTGGCTTCTCTGGAGCACATGGCTGTTGCCACAGTCACTGGCAGCCATCACAGTGGCCACCAACAGCCATGGCCATGGTCACCAACAGCCATTACCACGGTCACCATCAACCCTCTCCAGTGGCCATCACATGCCACCAGCGAGTGGAGCCGCTGCCAGCAGTTAACGGGTTTGTTTCATGAAACAACAACATCATCTTCACACACACACACCAGCCCTCCACGATGATTCCTACAAATCCCTGATAAAGTGCCAGGACGCCTCAGCCAAAAATATCAATGTCCTGTCCCTCCCAAAAGTGCACAGGGGCAGTGGGAAGGGCAGCGCTCGGCCCTCGAGAGGAGCTGATGACCCACTCCCAGTGGATCGAGCACCACATGGCCAAGGACATCCCTCCCTGGCCTTTCTGAGGACATTGCTCCCCAGCCTCTCTGTCCATAGGGACTCCCCGTCTGGGCTCGGGATCAGCCCTGAAGCCGGTAGCTGGGGTGAGGCACAGGAATTGGAGCTGAATCCCTGTGTCCAGCTCCTGCATGTGCAGCACGACCCGGCAATGGCCCGGTGAGCGCTTGGATCTGACTGCACAGTGGGACAGATGGAGAGATCATGGAGCCCTTCCTGGGGAGCTCTGCAGTGCTCATTCACACATTCCTCATGGGCTCAGGGATTAGTGGAGAGAGAGGCTGCCCCAGTCACACTCTCTGCAAGAAGCACCAAATGTTGTCACCCCACATGCCTGCCCACGGCCATTCCCACTCCACAATGGCTGGTTCCCAGTCTCCCCATTGGAGTCTGGGGGCCAGTGTCTCCCCAGCCTCTTGCATGGATGAGGCACCATGTTCTCTGCATCCTACCCGCCCTCCCCAGCCCCCAGCAGCTCACCAGCCCACCCTAGCACCTCACCAGCCCTGCCCAGTACATCCCACAGTCCCAGTTAGCCAGGCTATTCATGGCTCACACAGCTGCACATGCTTCAGGTGCCTTCCCTGGCTCTGGGACCCTACCATGAGCCCTGTGCTCAGCAGGCTAAATACAGCTCCTGGGAGGCAGGATCCTCAGCACAGGGGCTGAAATCAGTCCCAGGGCACCCTGCCTGCCCTGGGCTCCACTCCCCACACCCAGTACGGCCACTACCTGCTTTAATGTGCTCCTGCTTTCAAATTGCTTTTCAGTAATAAATTCACCTTGGGAAATATAATGAAATATATAAACCAGGCAAGATAAAAGCATTGATTTATGAATTGCATTTTACACAACAATTCCCACAGCACACTTGAAAATAAACTTCCAGGTTTCTGTTTCAGGTTTTTGGGGGTTTTTTTGGTCTTTTATAACAAGAGAAGATACAAATGCTCTTCAGTGAGGAACTCAGTGACTAAAAGCAGCCTCATTTCAAATGCAGCTGGAACATCATTATGAAACTATTTTGCTAAAACCTTCAGCACTGAGATCTTACCATAACTTTGCATTTCTGTTAAAGCCCCCAGTCAGCCCAAAAAGCCGATGGCCTGCACTGCACCCTCAACACAGGCTCTCCAGCTGCTCTTGTGGAGGCAGGGAGAGGTGTGGGCAGCGCAGGAGGCATTACAGAGAATTAGGATATCTTTTATAATACATAAATGTGTTGTAGTCACAAGCACATGGAGGAAAGGCCGAGAATCGCTCATGGATAAATCCTGTTAAGGAAAGTGGCATTGGGGTTCATTAGGAAGTGCTGGGCAGCAGAGCAGGGCATGTGGCTCCTGCTCAGCTTCCTTAGGCTCCTGTTTGCTCCATTGCAACACCTGGCAGGCAAACAGAGCCATCGTCCCTTCCTCTCCAAGCCCTAATCCTACTCCCATCCCAAGGTTATTCCACATTTCCAGAGGATCTGGTGTCAGACTCATGGGACATGACCCAAAGGGCAGCAGTTCCCAATGGCAGCTGTAATTTAAAGACAAATGCAAGGGCTGTAACACCTTGATGCATAGGGATCTTCCTGAGGAGAACATACCTGAGCTCCTCCATCCCAAACCAATACCACAGCCTTTCTGTGCCCACAGAAGCAACATCTCCAAGAATCAGAGATCCTGTCTCCCTGACCCCACTGGCTGCATGTTTGAGGCCCCACTGCAGCCCCATGCAGCTGTGCCCCAGGACTGCTGCCCACACCACACAGAGCAGAGGTTCAGCCCTGCATGTGAACACATGACAAACCTGTCCAAGATGTCCCCCAAGACGCCTGTGAGCAAAGCCCCATGTGACAGCTGTGATGCCACCCTGCACCACCACCCTGGTCAGGGCAAGTTGGTCTCTACTTCTACCTTTGCAGCACAAATTAGTTACTTCTTTCCAACCAAAACCAGACTAACAAAAGAGCATAATCACGGAACTGGATGAATTCAGAAGAAAATGGTATATTTTAGCACATGCAGTCACCCCATGCAGTCAACTGGGAGGGACAACCAGCACCGAGCCACCACTGCTCCACTGACAAACAACATCCTCATGGCCAACAAACACAAATGCATCAGGATTCAGGAGATCAATGCTATGGATAAAGCCAGTACTTGATAAACCCAGATTTAGTCAGCAAAGCAGGAGCCAGCCAAGGTGTACATCTTGCACTAGCTTCCTTTAGTGCTCATCTCTCTTGAAACCAAGGACAAATTCCTACTAAACAGTGGGAAAGGGGGAGAAAGGGGATTTCTGTGATGGAGACACAGACATGCTGACTTATACTGGGATGCCAGGAATAGCTTGGTTACCCAACTGCAGCCCAGGAACAGGCAATTTTGGTACCTCTGTGCCCTCTCCTGAGCTGTGTCCCTCACTAGTGACAGTGCCAGGGAGGTGCCAGCTGTCCCTTCCCTGGCACAGCCCCCCCACCTGCAGCAAAGCTGCCAGTGCTGCTGGTTATAGGAAATGAGGGGGGCCCTGGGAGAGGGGTCTCCCATTGGGAAAGAGAGACCAATTCCTTCCCATAAATAATTGACACTGAAAGAAGCCAGGGAAGCCATTACCTTCTCATGGTTTTCTATTAAAATTTCAATCACGATGTTCTGGAATTTGATGTCCATAATGGCAGCGACTGTTTCCTCTTGAGGTCGAAGCAGCGTCGGCCCAAACACCACACCCAGATTAGCAACAGTCATCAGGTTCTGCTTGTGATTATCTGCAACTCTGGGAAAAAACAAAAAGAGAAAGAAAATGAAGTAGGTGATGGAACTAATCCGCAGGGAACCCCCTCTCTGCTCTCCCTGACTCGTGGCTGGCACAAGGCTTACAACCCTGTTTACATTTTTTACGCTCCTGGTGAGCTCCTTGAAGGCTCAGCCATGTGGAAAAGTACAAATTTAACTGTTGTGTTCCTGGAGACCTTTCAGCCTCCATGAATTGACTAATCCCACAAAACCCCAACCCCGCACTGGCCACCGAGCCTCATGCTGCAAACCACTCCCAGGAAAACATCTTGAATCATTAATGCTTAAAACCCTTCTGAAAACAAATTGTTGGACCTCTGACACACACTGCTCTCCAACTCAATGAGTGACCTCATATGTTCCAAAGGCCAATTCCTTCTCAGCCATTCCAGCGCTGGGCTGCACCAGAGGTCAGCCCCATCCAGGTCATCCAGACTGGCTGGGAGGTGACGATGGGTCTCTACCCCCAGATCCCCATGGCCCACATCTGCCCTTCTCCATCCTGCTGAGGAACCCACCAGAGATGAGCACCCGCTCACTCAGGGACCCACCAATATTCGAGCTTCCTCCCTGCCACCTCCATCTCTTTTTTGTTCACAAGGGCACAGACCAGTTCAGAGAAGCGAAACAGCTCACGCTGAGGACGTGCCACGGTGTGTTTGAGGGGTTAACTTGGAGCAGCTCCAGTTGGTCCCTGGTCTTAGTGATGCAAATCCCCATCAGCCCCAATGGGGCACGTCCTACACTCTGTCTCACCCCGAGGATACCCGTGCACTGAGGACACACTGCATGCAGGAGGCAGTCCAGGAGCCCCCATCCATGTCAGACCATGGATGCCAGGGACCAGGTGCTCGGCTGCTCCGTGGCACAAGCCTGGTTGTGGCATGGACAGAACTCGCTGGGTACCATGGAATCTGCTGAGTCACACAGGGACACGCGTGCGTGCGGCGCAGCCGGGACCTGCGGCGCAGCCCTGCAGCTCCGTCTCCCTGAGTCTTTCTTGTGGTTTTCTCCTCACCTCTTCAACCAGGAAACACGGCAGCTTCAGGCTGTGTGCTCACACGGTTTTAAGCCTAAGGGGGTTTTAGTGTCTTTTCCCTTCACTCTTTCTCTCCTGTTTCCATGGATAAATGCAGCAGAGGGGCACAGAGTGAGGCTGGACTGCCCCAAAAATTCATTGCCATGAGCTTTTACTATTGACCTTGGGGTCAAGATATTTGTGGGCATACTCAGTGTATTTCAGCACACTGTAAGCACAGGTTGGTTTAAAAGAAAAGATGTTTTCCATCCTTTTCCATCCAAATCTCACTTGAACCAGAAAGAACTCATTCCTCATCTCTATATACAGCTCCTCAGGCAGCAGATGGGGACCTCAGCACAGAGTAGGGCTCAGGGTTGCTGGTCTAGCTTCTCCCAACAGCAGCATCAGCCCTACTTACTGCCCAGGCAAGAAGCCTCACTTCGGTGCATGTTACATCCCTGGAGAACAGGCAGAGCTGTCACCTCCACCGAGTCTGCGCTTAAAGGTGGGAGGTCCTGGCCAAAGCCCCTCAGGAGCTGGTGGAACCTCCCTCTTACCCGTAACTCCCCCCACTGTCAGGAAGCTCTGAATATTTTATCACAAACGTGCGGGAAATCTCCAGTGTCGGTAAACGCTGCGGGAGATGGGCTGCCCTGGAGACGGGCTCCAGCACAGAGATGACAACTTTGCCAGTGCTGAGATGATGTGCTGCCCACAGGGCTGCTGTCATCCCATCCAGGCTGGACATTCCCATCCCCAGATGAGCACAGAGCCTCTCCCCATCCCCATCCCCATCCTCACCACAGCCAAGAGCACACCAAGCTGTGCACTGCAACACTGGCACCACCCACCGTGACCCGCAGAGCTGGGAGAGGGGGAGCAAACTTTCCTTAGGGAGTCACAACCCCATGCAACAGTGAAAAAGGCAGAAGTCCAGTAAGAAACATTATATGCTACATAATACTTCTACAAGGATTCGAACCTTCCCCTCACTCCCACCCATCTCCTCACCAAGACACTTACAAACCCCAAAGACATTTTCGCATTGCAACATCTACATTTCAAACACACATTCACGTGCTCCTAACTCGATTTGGAAAAACACAGCTGCAATTCAAATGGCTTTGAAAAGTACTAATAAAATAATAATTTTAGTGATCTTCTGCGGTTAGTAAAACAATGTTCATTTATTAAAAAAAAAACCTAATTGATCTAAGTCATACAAAATTAGGTCCCTCCATTTCTCATTACCGTTACCATGTCCTACATCACTCTAATAAATTGCACTGTCACCAGCTCATTACGGTGAGGCAGCTGTGCGTGGCCCTGGTAATTATTTCAGACTGAGCTATTAATGGCTTCCCAGGCAGGACATGATCCTGCAGCACCAGCCACGGACCTGCCCTAGCAATGTCCACACGGGTGGCCCCTTGCCTCCATCACCAAACTCCACTGTGTTTTATTTTGCCTCTGGAAGTGTGGGAGCCATTCTGCAGCTATGCAATCTGGTTCCTTTCTGGAATAAACCTTAGTGGCACATGAACTGATCTGCATCCTGGGTACTTTTCCAGCAATAGCCTTCCCCACACTGGGTCACCACAGCTGTGCTCCAAAACATGATTCACCTTTCACATCCTTCAAATTCCACAACCATTACCCACAGGATAATTTACTCTAAATTATACCTCTTCATCATCTTTTGTACTAGGAAATAATGCCACAGTTTCTAAAGATGGGGTGTTCTCAGCCCAAAGTGAGTTTAATGCCGGGGCTGTTCAGCAGGGACTGGCAGTGCCATTCCTGAGCTGCCCTTTAGAAGGTTTCCAAGCATTCACTGTTATTTTCCTTTTAACCTGCTGTTTCTTTCCGGTCCTCAGTGCACTTTGAAAGAACTGCACTAACATTAACTTTGATGGGTCCTTTTCCCACTCCCTCTCCATACCCACTTTGGAGGAGTCACATCCAGCACAGGGAAGAAGCAACAGCTAATGGAGGAATGTGCAGAACCTCTTCACTCCTGCTTGGGGCTCCCAACGGGCCAAACTACCACTGGCTTTTGGACTCTGGGCTGTGCCTCCTCCTCTCAACACATGATGCTTCCCACATGCCTCCCTCCAGGATCAGTGGGAGATCAGCCTGGCAGTGTGGGACAGTCCTTGGCCATGGGAATATCTGCGCTCAGCAGTGCCTTACCAACACGCAGCTCCACGAAGGCCTGACCCACTTGGTGCTGACCCAGGAGCTGTGCTGGATGCTGCCAGCACCCAGCCAATGGCACTGAGACCGAGCTCGGGACACCCCGGGCCAGGAGCCCAGTGCTCCTGTGGGAGCTCCATCCCAGCAGGTCATTCCCCAGGGTGTCTGTGGACGCCGCTCACTTTACACTCACTTTCAGCAAAACAAAGGAGAACAAGAGCAGAGTAAATCCATGTTGTGTGTTAAATTAGATTATGCCCAGGTTGCCTGGATACCGTATAATCACTGCCATGACCAAACACAATTTAATACAGGGTAATTGGTAGCCAAGGTTCAGCGCAGGGAAAGCGCAGGAACAGTAAATATTCCCTGGCTGCGCTGGCTCGCGGTCAGCACTATGTAGGAGAGGAGAATGGCAGCGGGTGCCATGGGCAGGCAGCACAGTGTGGGCCCTCACTCCTCTTACCAAGATTAATGAATTTGGTCTTTTCACCCTGCTCAATGGCTCAGACTCATTTTCACTAAGACCCAGTTAAAGAATTCATTTGCTTCTCCAGCAAACTACACAGGTGCTTCCAGTCCTCCCAGTAAGAGCCAGCACTGCAGCTGAACATCATGCACAGGGCCCAGGACAACAAAAAATGGACCAGCATGAGACTTCTGGGCTCTGACCTGGCACCAGTGGGATCACTTGACATTGGTGGACACAGTCCAAGCCCCTGCCCAGCACACTGGGCACCAAGAGCCACAGAGCTCCATGGGGGCTGCTCCAGTGGATGCCACAAGGGCACTTGGCTCTGCTCCCCACAGAACTCCTGTTTCCTGTGTCTGGAATACATACTTTGTGCATGTATTTTATATATGTGTATAAAATTATATATATATAAAATTTTTTGTGTATGCATTTTATATATAAAATACATGTATCTGCATATCAGCCCAAAGTGCCATTATTAGTTCAAATATCTTCCCTGATTCAGAACAAAATCTCTGAGCAAACAACCATTTGAAGGGAACAAAGGCAAAGTCTGGAGTGTTTCTATTTCCATGCCTGGGACAAACCTTTGAAAACAAAGTGCTTGTTGTGGCTGGCCTAGCAAGTCCTTAAAGGATGGAAAATAATGCAGCTAATTCCTATTGCTACAGGTAAAAATCCATCTCCTGTCTGCCATCACCAATAGAGCTGTTTAATGTGAAAAGCCAGTCACGCAGAGGCCAGCAATTCCCAAAATTATTTAGGCTGCTCTGGGTAGTTTGACAGAAATTAAACACTCACCTTTGACTCTGGATGTGCATGAGAGGTAAAAAGCAGAGGGAGTGCAGGCAGCACGCTGGGATCTGAGGGGGGCCTGTGGATCCACCATCCTGGGTGGGCTGTTGGTGCGTGGCAGAACTGCACTTACCCCATGCTAGTGAGATCCCACCAGGGCAGCAGCTGTGTTCCCACCCAGTTCATCCAAAGAATCATAGTATCATGGAATCATTTAGGTGGGAAAAGCTCTCCAAGATCATTGAGCCCAGCCATTCCCCCAGCACTGCCAAGGCCGCCACTAACCCACGTCCCCAAGTGCCACATCTACATGGCTTTTAAATCCCTCCAGGGACGGTGACTCCACCACTGCTCTGGGCAGCCTGTGCCAGGGCTGGACGATCCTTTCCATGAGGGAAATTTCCCTAATATCCAACCCAAAACTCCTCTGGCACAACTTGAGGCCATTTCCTCTTGTCCTGTCACTTGTTATCTGAGAAAAGACCAGACCTCC